GTGCCCGGAGCCGGAGGTTCTTCGTCCTCTTAGCTATTTCTTCGACGTTCTTGAAGGCGTTCCAAGCCGCTCTCTTCCTCCTGCGCAGCTCGGGTGCCAGGTCATTTGTCATGTTGACCTCTCGACCTAGGTAGACATAGCTGTTGCATTCGGAGATGGTCGTTCCATTGAGAGCGAATGGGGCGTCAGGAACAAGGCTGTTTCTCATAAACATTGTCTTCGTAAGATTCAGCTGTAGTCCTACCTTTCCACACTCACGGTCAAAGTCGGCCAGCATTTGTGCCGCTTGGCTGATGTTTGGTGTTATTAAAACAATGTCATCAGCAAAGCGGAGGTGGTGTAGTTGCCGACCATCTATCTTCACTCCCATTCCTTCCCATTCCAGTCGTCGCATGATGTTCTCGAGGGTGGCACTGAAGAGTTTCGGTGAAATGGTATCCCCCTGTCGAACCCCTCTCTTGATGTCAATGATCACTTCTTTGTAGAATGGTGAGATCCTGGTAGTGAATCCGCAATACAGCTCACGGAGGATCCTGATGTATTGGGCTTGAATGCCCTGATTGGCTAGGGCTTCAATGACCGCTTCCGTCTCAACAGAATCAAAGGCCTTCTTTAAATCAATGAACGTTAAGCAGAGCGGCATCTTGAACTCCCGAGAAACCTCAATGAGCTTGGTTACCGTGTGGATATGGTCGATGGTGCTGAATCCTTTGCGGAACCCTGCTTGCTCACATGGTTGTCCTTAATCTAGTGTTCTGCCAATCCTATTCAGGATGACTCGAGTGAACAACTTATAGATGACAGACAATAGGCAGATCGGGCGATAGTTGCCAATGTCATGGATGTCTCCCTTCTTGAACAGTAGTACGGTCCTGCTGGTTTTCCATTGGGACGGAACCTTGCATTCAGACAGGTAGCGAGTGAAGAGCCGAGCCAGTGTATTGATGAGTACTGACGCCAGGTTCTTCAGGTGTTCAGGTCTGACCTTGTCTGGGCCGGGTGCTGTTTGCTTCTTTACCGACGAAATGGCGTGTCGGATTTCGGAAGGGAGAACGTTGGGAACGACATATCCATCCTGTGGAATTTGGTATGTCGGCAAGTGGACATGGCTATCGAAGAGATTTGAGTAGAAGTCATGGATAATCTTCTCTATTGCCGTTCTGGAGGATGTGATGGATCCATCAGGACGTCGGAGGGCAGTCATCTTGGTCTTATAGTTGGCGAAAGACAGGCGGGCGTTATGAATACTTTTCCCGGCTTCTGCCGCATCTACCAGTACTTTTGCTCTTCTCTCTTTGAGGTCTTCCTTGATCGCATCTCTGCACTGCTTTGCAAGCTCGGACGTTAGCTTGCGGTTGCCTGAGGCATGCGCCAAACCACGCTGGCGAATTAGCTCAAGAGTTTTCGAAGATAGGCGACTTTTTGTGGCTATCTCTCTCTTGGCGTTCCTCGCACATTCATGGAGGTGCTGAACCAGTCAATCGTATTCCTCGTCAATGTTGTCAACAATGGCATCTTCCCATGTTGCCGCAATAGTACCAAAGAGTTCCCAGTTGGTGGTCATTCTGGGAGTTCTCTTTTTGAACTTTGCAGCCCTTTCTCCCCGCTCTGTGAAGTAGAATTTTGCACACTACTTCCACTACCCAGCCGTCGCCACACTCCAGGACGCTTTCCGGACCCGCGCGGCCGCGGCCGCGCAACACATCATAAGACACTAAATACCCGTCTTCTGGAATTGTCGTACCATATTTGATAGGGTTCAAATATGGTAACACCTACAAGGGTAATTAGAGGTCACCCCAAAAGCCTCTATACCTCTCGGAAAGACTGGCAAGCTACCGAGAGTATTCCGCCCGCACGAAGAGCCTGGCAAGCTATCCGCTGTGTATTCGATATGCCAAAACCAGTAACTACAACTGGTCTCATTCACCTGACCCTGAAGGCTTCACCGACATGGCAGCACTGAGAAGGATGAGAAAGGAGAGGCCGACAAAATCTCAAGGCCGACCTAGGCTGCCACAACGAAGGAAGACAAAAATGATCGTCTGTACTTTCAATGCACGTACGCTAGCATCAGATGCATCCATCGAGGACCTGATGGTACAAGCGCGAATGATCAAGTACGACATCATTGGTCTGACCGAGACAAGAAGGCACGAATCTCAACATGCCGTTTTCGACACTGGAGAAGAATTGTTCCTCGGAACATGCGATAAAAGAGGTGTCGGAGGCGTCGGTGTCCTTGTCAACACAAACTTGGCCAAGAGCATTGATTCATTCGAATGCCTAACAACCCGAATCGGACGTTTACATTTGAATAGATGTGGCTCACTGCCTGCAGTTTCTATCTTCGTTGTCTACGCACCAACATCTCATTATGATGAAAGAGAAATCGAGAAGTTCTACATGGAGCTAGAGAAGTTCTATAAAGAAGACCACACCTTCTACAAGATCATTGTGGGTGATTTTAATGCCAAGATAGGACCGAGAAGATCAGCTGAAGAACTTCACATCGGGACCCATGGCCTAGAATGGAACCAACAGGGTGAGAGACTGTCTGAGTTCATCATGTCGACCAAGACCATTCATGGTAACTCACAGTTCCAGAAGGCAGAATCTAAACGATGGACATGGGAGTCTCCCGGTGGACGATTCCACAACGAAATAGACCACATCATATTCAATCGACGGTTTTGCCTGACTGATGTTGCTGTTGTCCCAAAATTTCGAACGGGATCGGACCACCGTCTCCATATATATAAAGCTGTAGTAATTACAACAGTAGAGGCTATGGGCTCTCAGATTAGTGGTAGAGAATTTTAAAGTCCAGAGACAGATCCACAGGTCTGTCTTCTATAAAGGAGCTAAACATATGCAGTGGAACAAAGAAAGCTTTTTCAATAAATGGTGCTGGTCAGTCACATGCCAGTTTCTTTATCCCTTGTCTCATCTGTGATGAACAAATATTTTCTTCCAGTTGCTAGGTTTCCCTTTTGATTTTATGATAGTTTCTTTTGTTATCTACACATTTCTTAGTTTAATGCCACCTTGTTTGTTTATAGTTTTGTTTTTGCTTACCTTGCTTTGAAGTTGACTCTCCAAGTTTAATGTTAAGATCCCGGAATATTTTCTCTGTTTTCTTTTTTTTTAATGTATTTTATAGTTTTTGGTCTAGTGTTCAAGTCTTCAATTATTTTGCGTGGTGTTGGTGATTAGTTCTCCTCCTTCTTTTCCCCTCTCCCTACTTCTTTCCTTCTTTCTTTCATAGGATGTCTAGTTCTCCCAGCACCATTTTTTTAATTTCCTTTTTTTTTAATTAATTTTATTAAATCACCGTGAGATAGTTACAAGCTTCCATGTTTGGGTTACAATCACACAATGATCAAACACCCATCCCTCCACCAGTGCACATTCCCCACCACCAATATCCGTGGCGTTCCCCGCCCCTCCTCCCCCTGCCTCCATGACAGACATGATTCCCCATAATCTCTCTCTACTTTTGGGCATTATGGTTTGCAATACAGACACTGAGAGGCTATCATGTTTGGTCCTTTATCCACTTTCTGCACACATCTCCCATCCCGACTGATTCCTCCAGCCATCTTTTTCTTAGTGATCCCTTCTCTATTCCAGCTGCCTTTTCCCCTTTGCTCATGAGGCAGGCTTCCAGCTATGGAGCAAACTATCTGTCCCACGTATCTACTGTCCTTAGAAGTTAGCCTCAGGTTATGTTGTTTTATACTCCACAAATGAGTGCAGTTCTTCTATGTCTGTCCCTCTCTTTCTGACCCACTTCACTTAGCCTGATACTCTCCATGTCAATCCATTTATAAGCAAAGTTCATGACTTCATCTCTCCTGACAGCTGCATAGTATTCCATTGTGTAGATGTACCAAAGTTTGTTTAACCAGTCATCTGTTCTAGGGCACTTGGGTTGTTTCCAGATTTTGGCTATTGTGAACAGTGCTGTAATGAACATATAGATACAGACGTCATTTCTACTGTGCTTTTTTTTGCATCCTTGGGATATATTCCCAGAAGTGGTATTGCGGGGTCATATGGAAGCTCAATTTATAGTATTTGAAGGACTGTCCATATTGTTTTCCAGAAAGTTTGGACTAGTGGGCATTCCCACCAATAGTGAAAGAGTGTCCCCTTTTCCCCACATCCACACCAGCACTGGTTGCTTTTGTTCTTTTGAATGTGCCAGCACCATTTTTTAAAAACCTTTTTATGTCCATTTTATGGTCTGATTTTTTTTTTTAATCATAGTTTAGGTGCAAGGGTTTAATTCCGCTCTCTGATTTATTCAACTAAAGCATATTCTTTCGTCTATGCCTGGTCTTTTTCTAGTTCCATATCAATTTAGAATTTTTCCCCTCTATTTCCTTGGTAATTGCCATTCGTGTTTTGATATGAACTGTATTGTTTCTATAGACTGTACTATAAATGTGCCAATTTTTATGTTAATTTTTTCAGCATGACCACAGAATGTATTCTCGTGTGTGTGTGTGTGTGTGTGTGTGTGTGTGTGTGTGTGTGTGTGTGGTACACCCAGGGTGCTCAAAAATCACTCCTGTCAGTCAAACCCAGGCCAGCCGTATGCATGCAGGGCACGTTTCCTCTCTGTGGTACCGTGGCTCCAGTCCCAGTTTTGTCTTCCGTGTATAAATCTTCCATTTCAAAATGCCTGGTTTGCTTCCATATGTTTTATCTTTTTTGATTCAGTTCAAAATGGGATTGTTTTCTTAATTTCTGTGTCCTCCAGCTCATTATGTACTCAAATGCAAAAGATTTATGTGTATTGATTTTGTATCATGTTGGCGGTAAAACTTTTGAAAGAAGTCTTTTCATGGTTAAATTTTTTATTGAATGTTTACCTAATTTATTCCTCACATTTTGTTTCATCAATGTATTACTGAACTCGGTGATTTTGAGGGCTTATTTTTAGTATGTTATGGGCATTTTAAATTTATCTCAAACTTTTTTAAAAATTGTAGCTGTATGTTGATGTCTCATCTGGAGGAACCAAAAGTAACAGGCGAGGAAGAACCACCCACAGAACAGGATAAGAGGAAAAAAATGGTAAGTTACTAAAGTAGTTTCTAAGTTCGGGGAAAATCACTGTTTTTTATATTATGTAGATTTGAAAATGTTAGTCCATCTGTCCATCTATCAATGAACCTACCTATTTGTTCCTTGAATTAATTAATGTAAGCTAACCAAATTTTCAAAATTTGGAAAATGCTCCTAAAACACAGTTTAATTATATTACTTGTACAAGATGTTGAATTAGACTCTTGATTCTCAGTAAATTTTTTAGCAGAGCATATTCTTTACTGAAAACACATGACCCCAAAGCCTTGTTTATCGTAAAATGCTAAACTTCAGATTTATTGAAATTGCCTTGTTTTTAAAAAAATTTCATAGATCTTTGTAGTAAATTTTTCCTTACATATATGTCAGACCCTTATCAGAATGTCTTTTTTTTTTAATTGAATCACTGAGAAACACAGTTGCGAAGTTGTTCATGATCGGTTTTCAGTCATACAGTGTTCCAACACCCATCCCTTCACCAGTGCACATTTCCCACCACTGTCCCCATTTCTGTTCCGCCGCCACCCCCACCAGCCCCTTCCTTCCAGCCTGCCTCTGGTAGGCACTTTTCTTCCTCCTTTCTCTCTTTTCATTTGGGCATTATGGTTTGTAATACAGGCACTGAAAGGTTATGATGTTTGTCCCTTGACCTATTTCCATCACTGTTCTTGTCCAGAGATTTCACTAACGTCTTGAGCCAGTAGTCTAAATTTCTATCACGTTAATTTCTCAGTGAACTCAGTTCTGAGTTGATGGAGTTTGGAGGGAGGCATGGTGGCAATTTTGGAGTATAGAAGCGAGCAGCTGCTGGGGGGCTCTGGTCGGGCACTGAGCTGACCTATCCACCCCCAGGGTGCCGCAGATATTTCAGCCAGAAGCGGATATCCAGGTACTTTTGGTGACTGGTTGATCTTTTTTGAGATTTATTTATGAGTCGTTGGAGCATGACCAGTAGATGAGCTTACATGGTGGTGCCAGAAGTGGTTTGTGCGAGTGACTGCTGGGGCTTCTGTAAGTACAGGGAGGATGGTGGAGGTAGCCCATCCTGACTTTGAGGAAGCCAAGTGATTTCGGTCACAAAGACCAGAATATCTAAATCTTTTGGCGGGTTAATATCTCAGTGAACTTAGTCCTAAGATGATGGGGTCCATCAGGAGGTGAAAGTGCTGCAATGCACATTGGTGTGCACACATCCCTTTGAATTACTGTTTTTGTGTTCTTGGGATAGATTTCAGGAACTGGGATCATTGGGTCATAATGAATCCTGTTAATTTTTAAAGATGCTTCTAAACTGTTTTCCATAAAAGCTGAAGCAGACAACATTCCCATCAGCAGTGAATGAGGTTTGTGGGTTTCATTTTTGTTGGTTTATAGTAATATCTTTAGATTTTTGCAGACATGAATATTTACATTTGACTTTTTAAAAACTTAACTTGAACCTTGTATAAACCAGCCTGCAGCCTAACTGGACTGGTTTTCTAACCCTGCCAAACACTGTGGGTCCTGACCTTCATAAGCCAGTCTCTGTGTCTTCTGCTTTAGCTCTGGCTTATCCAAGGAGATTGACTGATCTTAGGTTGGGTTGCATTTGTTTCATAAATAACCAGATCTTGTCTTAATGGTATTTCTGGTAAGTCCTTAGCATGCCTTGGTCAGACAGAGGCAAAAAGGTTGTGTGGAATTGCCCCAGTATCAACTGATACATCCCCTTCTGAAAACAAGTAGAATGCCTTGTTTTCACTTTCTCCTCCCACACCCTCCCCACCATTTTTTTCTTTTTATCCACACTCCCTGAAAACTATTCGTCCAAGTTTTAGCTTTCCTCTGTCTTTTTACTAACTAGAGCTAGAAGACATTGTTGGGTAGGCGAGAAAGATATATTACAGGGGTTGAGGAACTTGCCTTTTGTCCTGCTGACTCTAGTTTGAATCTTTAACACCACATTTTGTCCCGTAAGCACCGCCAGGAATCACTCCTTAGCACAGAGCCAGAAAGAACGCTTGGACATTTCCAGATATGGTCGAGCCATCACCCCCCTCCCCACACCCAGCCTGTCATAAAAACAATTTTGAAGTAGAGTACATTGTTGGAAAGGAAGTTACCCTGCTTTCTATTAAAAACATTTTATAATGTTTTGAAAAATTTTAGTAAAAAAAATGTGGTTATACCCTTTGTGACAGTGACTTGAAATGGGGGGGGGGGGGAGTATAAATTTTACCTGAATGATGTTCATCACTGAGAATCATTAGAATGATTTGCTTGCCCACCTGCTCCCATTTGTCTAAAAACTCAGTGGACCGAGTAGAAATAATTGTATTTGTTCACCACTAACAAGATTACTGTGTGTGTGTGTGTGTGTGTGTGTGTGTGTGTGTGTGTGTGTGTGTGTGTGTGCTCTTAGTGAGGGTGTTTTCTTAGTACTAGTAGTCTCAAAATGATGCATCAGAGGCTATCTTCTTTCACAAAGTATAATGCAGGTCAGCAGTTTCTGAACTACCCCTTGAGAACCCTTGACATTGAATGACACTGAATGACATTGAATAATCAAACCAAACTACAGAATTATTTAGGGCTGGAGAGATACTGCAAGAATAAGGCACTTGCCTTGAGTGCCGCCAACTTGGGTTTGATCCCTGGCACCGTCTATGCTTCCCTAAGCACCACCAGGAATCACTCGTAAGCCTGTAGCCTGAGTACTGCTGGATGTGGTTTCCCACCCTGCTCAACCCCTAAATCACCACCACCAACAATTTTGAAAAATGTGTAAAATACTCTTTGGGGGAGCTGGACAATACAGAGGGCCGAACGCTTGCTTTGCACATGGGTGACCGTGTTTGGTGCCTGGCCCCCCATTTGGTCCCAAGTCCCTCCAGGAGTTATCCCTGAGCTGAGACAGAAGTAAGCCCTGAGTACCTTTGACTGTGGCCACAGAACCAAAAATAATAATAATAAAATAACTTTTTTGCTCATTGAATTTAAAGAGCTTCTTAGCTTTTTCTCAAATTGCCCCATTTCATTTAAATTTTTGGCTCTCCTTTGTGGCACACCTCTGCTTCTTCCTAATTTGTAACTGACCCTCCTCTAAAATCCTTTTCTTACAAAGCCTCTTTAAAAAAAAATGGAATCACTGTGAGATATAATTACAAAGCTTTCATATTTGGGGACTAGAGTGATAGTACGGTGGGCAGGGCATTTGCCTTGCATGTGGATGACCTGGGTTCAATCCCTGGTATCCCATATGGGCCCCTGAGTACCGCCAGGAGTAATTCCTGATTATCTCCAAGTGTGACCCATAAAGCAAAAACAAAAACCAGTTTTCATGTTTGAGTTTCAGTCATACAGTGATCAAACACGCATCCCTCCACCAGTGCACATTTTCAACCACCAACGATGTCCCCAAGTATTCTCCCCCCCTCCCCCAGACACACGTCCTCCCCCTCCCCCGTCTCCTTGGCAGAAAATTTCCTCCATACTCTATATTTTGGGGCTTTATCGTTTGCATTATAGATACTGAGAGGCTATAATGTTTTGTCCTTTATCTTCTTTCAGCACACATCTCCCATCCCAACTGATCCCTCCAACCATCATTGTCTTAGTGATCCCTTCTCTATTCCAGCTGCCTTCTCCCCCAGCTCATAAGGCAGGCTTCCAACTCTGGAACGATATTCTTGGCCCTTGTGTCTTCTGCCCTTTGGTGTCAATCTCATGTTATTTTGTATTCCACAAATGAGTACAGTCCTTCTATCTCTGTTCCTCTTTTTCTGACTCATTTCACTTAGCATATCTTTGTGACCATCACTTACAAGCAGATTTTATGATTTCATCTTTCCGAACAACTGTATAGTATTCCATTGTATAGATGTATCCAAGTTTCTTTAACCGTTTGCCTCTTCTCGGGTTGTTTCCAGATTTGGGAGAAAGCCTCTTCTGACTAACCATCCCTTTTCTCCTGAGGAATCTGCTTTGTGTCTATATTCGTGGCATAATATGCCCATATTTTTATGGACACTTTTCCATTATATAACCTACATTTTACTTATTTTTTTATTTTCCTTTGTTTTTACCATTGAACAAACTATCACCTTTTCTTTCTGCTTTCAACGTACTCAACTTCTGGTCTGAAAGCCAGCCGTTACGTGTTTCTTCAAATTCCTTTCGGACGGTGGGCAGAGTGGTACATCCAGTATTGAGAACCGCTACTGTTATAGTTTTGTGCTTAATCCTATTTTGTTGCTGGTTTATTTGCTTTGGTGTGGTTTTGGGGTGTGCATGGTCATGCTCAGAGATTATTTCTGGCAGTGTTTCAGGGACCATATGTGATGCTGGGGATCAAACCCAAATTGTTGCAAGGCCTTATTCCCTGTATTATCTGTCGGCCTGCTAGATCATCTTTCACAGATCTATTCAGTCTTACCCTAACCCTTCAGGCTTGTCTTTGTCTTTTCCCATTCTGTCTTCTACAGTCTAGCTAAACTAAACTACTTATCTCTCCATACCACGTCTTTTTGCCTGTCACAGAGCTCATACTAGTGCTTCCACCTGGGATCTTCCTTTATCTTCTTTGGTTTTTTGTTTCGTTTTGTGTTTTTGTTTTTTGGTCACACCCAGCAATGCTGAGGGGCTATTCCTGGCTCCGCACTCAGGATATTATTCCTGGCGGTATGCAGGGGACCACATGGGATGCCAGGGATCGAACCCGAGTTTGCTGTGTGCAAGCAGATGCCCTACCTGCTGTACTATAGCTCTCGCCCCTCCCTTTGTCTTCTTTCTGCGCTCTCTGCCTATTCATTTGCCATTTTCCTCACGAGGCACCTTTTCACTTCCTTTATCAGCATTTCTGCCTATACCCAGTTAAAGGAATAGTTGCTTCGCGTGGACTTCTGTAGCATCTTCTCTGCTATGTTTAACTGCATGTCTCACTTGTTTTATGTAACCTTAGCAATACAAATCTACTGTGGTATGCTAGCAGTACCCATCATGGGTGTGTG